ACAATCAACACATAACATAAAAACAATTTTATCAACTTAATTTTAACATGCTTCAACAATATCATAGATCAACACACAACTTGTAAACAACTTCACAACTTAACTACAACATGCATCTCATTTACATCCCATCTTCATCATAAAAGCATCACCAACAACATCATTAATAAATATTTAATCATATCTTAGCAACACACAACATTTTCACCACATAACACAACTCATACTACATGTTTACAACCCATCTATCATGCCAACTTACACACCCAAACAATACCAACCAACCTAAGCACCCAAATGAGTTCTCAACTCACATACAAGCAACAAATCTACAATCTAGCTTCCCTTACCTGAAGATTGGCTCTAAACAGCCAAGAATTTGGGAATAAGAAAACTTTCCTCCGAGCTCGACTCCCGAACTTCAATCCTTCAAAACCAAGTTTCCTAGCCCAGAGTCCTTCTATCTAAAACTTCTCTCTAAAACCTCTCTCTAAGTTCCCATTCTCTCCTTCCTCAACGCCTATTTATAGAGGTTAGGAGTGGCCAGAACGACCCGTTTTGAATCCGAAATGACCTGTTCTAGGCTCCTTCGTCATGTGTAAAATTCACATGCATAACGACTGTTCTAAAACTAGAATGGCCCGTTCTGGCACGTCTAGAACGACCCGTTCCCAAACCAGAATGACCTGTTCTGGAGTTGAATTTAACTCACAACAACCATGTTTGGAACGACCCGTTCTAGTCTAGGATTTATAGGCCTATTTAGTAGTCTAGAATGGCCCGTTCTGGGCTACTAAATCACCTTTATTTTAGTAGTTTGGAAAGACCCATTCCAAATTTGGAACGCCTGGTTCCAATCTGCTAACTGCGTTATAGTAGTAGTGACATTGGTGAAGGTGATGTGGTGGTGAATGTAATGATAATAGTGATAGTGACAATGTCATAGGTAACCACAATAATGATGATAGTATGTATGTGATAACTTTATTTATAATTTTTCAATTTAGGTTGTTTATATTAATCTAAGACTTGTTATTATTCATTATCATGTTCTTATATAAGCAAGTGCTCTCACTTGAGTCATTCCCTATATATATATATATATATATATTATCTAAATCCACACAATGGGATGAACAACTTTGAAAACATCTCCCCTAGTCCTAGTGATCAACAACTTATCATCATAGTTTAATCAGCTTACAACTCAACAGCACAGCTCAGCTCAACAACTTAAACAACATACAACTTTTTAACTCATCATCTCAATTAACTTTCAACTTAAACAACATAGTTTATCAGCACAACAACTCATCAACACTGTTTAACAACACATTTTAACAACACAACATCTCATTTCAACTTTAAACAACAGAATTATCATCTCATCAGCTCAACTATCGACTCAACATCTCAATTCATAATTTATAACTCAACCATCACAAATTAATGTCTTTTCAACACAAAGTACAACATACAACTCTCATCTAACAACTTAGCAACACAATCTACTAATAACTTTTGTATCGTCTCAACACCTCTACAAACTTCACACAACTCACAACCTAATCATCATGTACTTCACAACTTTCCACTAGATCATCTCATCATATTTCACAAAATATAGATAGTCAACACATAAAATAAAACAATTTTATCAACTTAATTTCAACATGCTTCAACAATATCATAGATCAACACACAACTTGTAAACAACTTCACAACTTAACTACAACATGCATCTCATTTACATCCCATCTTCATCACAAAAGTATCACCAACGACATCATTAATAAATATTTAATCATATATTAGCAACACACAACATTTTCACCACGTAACACAACTCATACAATACCAATCAACCTAAGCACCCAAATGAATTCCCAACTCACATACAACCAACAAATCTATAATCTAGTTTCCCTTACCTGAATATTGGCTTTGAACAGCCAAGAATTCGGGAATAAGAAAAACTTTCCTCATAGCTCGACTCCCGAACTTCAATCCTTCAAAATTAAGCTTCCTAGCGGACCAGAATCCTTCTCTCTAAACTTCTCTCCCTTCCTCTCCCTCTTTCTTAACGCCTATTTATAGAGCTCAGGAGTGGCCAGAACGACCCGTTTCGAAACTGGAACGACCCGTTCTGAGCTCCTTCGTCATGTGTAAAATTCACATGCAGAACAGTCCGTTCAAGCACGTCTAGAATGGCCCCGTTCTGGCACGTCTAGAACGGCCCGTTCCTAAATCAGAACGACCCATTCTGGAGTTGAATTTAACTCACAACAACCACGTTTGGAATGGCCTGTTCCATTCTAGGATTTATAGGTCAATTTAGTAGTTTGGAACGGCCCGTTCCAGTTTGGGAACGGCCCATTCTGGGCTACTAAATCACCCATGGCCTTCAAAAATACTCACTACGTTACAATATTTTAACTAAATATTTTTTAAATAAAAAAGTTATGATTGCTTATTTATCCTTTTCTCATTTTTTTTAATCATTTCCTAACTTTTTTTAATTTCCTAAAACTAAGGAAATATTGCTTACTCATATGGGATTTATTTTAAACTGTAAATCATAGAAATTACTAATTTTTTTAATGATTAATTACAAGTACAAACAACAAAGATTATCCATGACAATACCAAGTATAATAACACCATTAAGCATAATTTATGGGTAGTAAGAAATAACAATAAATTGTTAACTTAATACTAACTTCAACTATTAGGAAAAAATTTATGTGAATAACTAATTTTATCCAAAATATTTTATAAAAAATAAAAATAAAAATAAATGACAAAGTAGTTACGGCAGAATATATTGTCAAAAAAGAGAAGATAATGAGGAAGTTAGCAAAAATCAAGGAATGATAATGTAATGATTAAGTGGTGGCTGAAAAAGAGGAGATAATGGGATTAGTGTAGTTACAAGCGTGCATAGCAAAAGAAGTTATATAAGACTGATTTTTTTTTTGTAAAGATAAGAAATATTACAAAAATGGTCGCAATGAGGATTGAACCTAGGTCCCCGTGCTTCTAACTACCCCAACCCCTCCCCACCCAACTACTAGGCTAACCCTAGTGGTTATATAAGATTGATTTGATACACACGGGAAAAAAATGAAAGAAAAATTGAAACCATAGCAGGACAAAACGGTTCCTCAAAAGTAGGCATGGCAACGGGGTGGGGTGGGGGCGGGTTTTACATTCCCCGCCCCTGCCCTCGC